ACTCTTCAATTATTAGTGTCGCTGATCAGCGAACACGCGAATGTAAACAAATAGCTAAAAATAGGCCCAATTTGGAGATTTATAACTTTTCAGAAAATTGCTTGCAGACGAGTTTCATTCCTGATTACTTAACTTTAGTAGGCATACTTTCAAATTACATGCCTCTTGAACTTCAGATAGGTGCCACTTTTGAGCTATTTTAAGTAAAATATTGAGCAATTTTCAGCCTCTCGTCGCCAACTTGAAAACATAATTTCGCAAAACTTTAAAAAAATCGTATTAAGCAAATAAAGTTGTTCAATCTCCATGAAAACGAGAGTATTAGTGTTAATCTTGCATGTGAACAGTAACTGCAGGGGATAAACGCACCACAACGTTTTTAAAAAATTGATGAATTCTTGTAAAATTCCCCTTCATTTCCGGTCTGAAAATACTCTTGCAAGGTCAAATTTCAACATGGGCTATAACTCCTATAAAATAGAAAGTTGAAACGTTCTGAAAGAAGCTCGATTAATATTGACCAAAGTCTAGTTCATGCGCAAAATATGAGCTAAATCTATTTTTCCTTCCCCAAACCAGTGGGTGGATTTTACTGAGAGGCCCTCTTAAGTGTATAAACATTTCAGACGTAAATATTGAGCCGAAAATCTTTGAGATTCTAGGCATTCAATTGAGTGCTGATATTATTTTCACGGTATACTCATTATACAGGGGTACAGTATGTAGAGGGTCCCGAAGGGGGGTCGTAGTCCCATTTCCCAGCCCAAATTTTGACTAAATCCCATTGCCCCAGAGCACAAATCCCATCATCTCAGTGGCTGTCCTGCTCAAATCTTAATCCCATTCCCATTTTCTATTGTTTTTTTGCTGATGAATCCCAGTCCCAGTACATGAAATCCCATTTTCCCACCCAAAAATAAGCAAATCCCAGTTCCCATTTTACCCCTTCAGGACCCTCTATGTACGAAGAAGCGAGACAGTGTTGTTTTTCAAATATATAAACATTTCAGACATGAATATTGAGAAAATCTGTGAAATTCTACGCAATAATATGATATAAAAAATTGATGAGTATGGTTACTGGCGTTCAATTAAGTGCCCATCGATAGACAATATTATTTAGACCGTGTATTCATTATACATTGTTATTTGACTGTATAAGGTGCCACATCACAGAATAGTACACTCAGGCAAAGAGCGAAAAATTGCATCAGATCAATAAAGCATCAACAACTATTAAACAGAAGCGGGCGTTCGTACAGGCGTTTATGAAGAAAATATTGCGAGACGAAGGAAATCAGTTGAGTCAGAGCTCCTTATTTTAATAAGAAAGACGAGGTTATTTAGACATAACCTATACGGTTACATAGCCAATATGTTATCGTCAACGTGTTATCGCCAATCGCTTGGCTCACCAACAAGCTTTATGCAATGGAAGAAAAAAGCAAGGAGGTACATGTAGCCAACGTGTACTGTCGCGGACCTTGTTTACTGTCTAGCACAACGCCGTTGTCAACGGTGCAAATTCGTGTTCAGTGCAACGTTAACTCTACCAAATCGTACGAGGATTAATCTGTAGTATTCTGTACACAAAACTGTATCAAAGCTTGTCAAAACTGCTTTAAACACTGCTATAACTGTGAAACTATTGAAATCTAAAGTGACATTATTCAAAACATGCGAAAAGTTAAAAATAGACACAACGTGACACTGGGAAAAGTCAAAGGTCAAATGCGGCCAACCTCGCAAGCAAGGGCCTCCACACCCGCGGCGGGACGGAGACCCTTGTAAAGGCTGGTCACGTGACCTCCCAAATTCTGGGAGGTAAATCAAGTTACACTGAGGGAGGGGTGGTTGAGGAGCGGGTCTGTAAATTTCTCATATTCCAGAAATATGAGAAATTTACAGACCCGCTCCTCAACCACCCCTCCCTCAGTGTAACTTGATTTATCTCCCAGAATCTGGGAGGTTACGTGACCAGCCTTTACAAGGGTCTCCGTCCCGCCGCGGGTGTGGAGGCCCTTGCTTGCGAGGTTGAAATGCGGCTTGTTATTGTAAAACATGTCACAATTAGGTTAAAATGCGGAAGCGGATGGAGCGGACCACAGAACGGAAATGCAAAAAAAATACGGAACTGATAAAGATAAAATGCTTCCTTTCAATGATGTAACGACGTAGTGCTTATTACTTATAACATATCTATTTCAATTATAAGTTTGCAGTACCCTTGTGCGGATTGTCGCGTGTAGCATCACAATAAATACTAGATAAGTTGTGTCAGTTTCACAAAGCACGTTTCTGATGTGTTAGGCTTGTTTCAAACGTCACGCTACTCTTGTGTCGAGCGCATTAAAAGCAATATATAATGAGATGAAATGCCGTTGGTGATTGTTTATTTCGTAGTGTAAGACATCAGCTTTTCTAGGTTGTCAGCGATCCTATATAGTTCTTGCAGAATCCTTTTCAATTTGAAACTTCACACTATCCTTGGATCCCTTGTTCGAATCCCATCGATAGACAAGTTAGCAAAATTATGTAGATTGCCGCCGCCAGTAGGTTAACGAAATTGTAAGAAGAATGTTTGTGTTTATATATCTTTTATTTCATATTATGTATTTATTTGCATTCGCCCTTCGCGAAGTTTGCTAGCACTGTTGCACAGTCACAGTAAAAGTGGCCGTCGCCCCCCGGATCATAAAGTTACAAATTACGTAATCTTCAAGATTTGTGACGTCACGCAATCAGAGTTTGCCAGGGTCCCACTACGGGGACCCTGGGTACGAGGTTGGCGTCGCGGTCGACCAGTTGACCAACCTCGTACCCAGGGCTTCTGCGCTTATTGCTCTCAGAAGCCCTGGGATAATCCAAACCGGAACACCATAAAAGATTGGTGCCCCCGGAAGCGGAAGTAAGCAGTAACTTTAACTAAAGACGCTGACTTGGCATATTTTTACGCAAGGAGTAAGAATGCATTATTTGTTGCAATTTATAATAAATTTGGACTTGTAAAGACGTCTTAAACTGTTTCTTGCGTGGCTTTTGGAATTTAAAGTCAGGAATGATCAATTTAGAGATACAATTATGGGTAAAATAAGCCCTTTGGCGAGCAAAAGAACGTCTTATATCGCGACAAAAGCATATATCTTGTCAGCGATATACAGGGGCTATTCAATAACTAAAGTATAAACATTTATACTCGAGTACAACCTTGGTCATTTCGAAGTCAACGAACTAGAAATCGTACTGGTAACATGGCTGGCTGCCGATTATATTGGATTTGAGGGTTTTGAACAAGATATTGCAAGATTTAATTGTAAATACGCAAGATATATACTGTACTGTAAACATGCATCTACTTGAAGAATGTAAAATGAACAGTGATGAGTGATGTAATATATTTCTGTGTTTATTTGGAAAACCTTTTTGGTAAATCTTGAGAATAATGGCCTTGGGAATGTTGAAAATTAAAAACTGTCAGATAGCTGCATGGACAGCATGGTTAGAAGCATACATGTCATCGGATGAAACTCCAACTTTTGTTAATTTCCAACTGAAATACATTTTAATTAATAACAATTGATGTTCTAGTATTGGAATGAACAGTGTTGTAAGAACCAATGGTGCTGAACTAATTTGAGTTTATTATAAAATATTGTTTGTTATTTAAGTCTGGCCATTAACCTTACCTATTAATTGTTATACATTGTGTCCTACTTTTTATTTTACTCTGACTGTCTAACACCAGATGATTATTTTTATATGTTGGGATAGATCACTGGTGTTCAATGGATTTGAATAATAATCTCATAATACACACTAGTTTGTTAACCTACTCTGTCTAATCATGCTCACACCATTGGCAATGGAATTGAGCAGTGATGTAGCCAGGACTTCTAATCAAGGCCTTCGAGCTGGACTGAAATCCCCAGGAGGGGCCTGCACTAGTTTGAATAAAGTTTGTTATTATGTAAAAATGTATTTGGACCTCAAGCTATCCATGTATAATATAGTACAATGAAGACTTTTTAAATTCTAGTTGTGTGCTGAAATGTTTTGAAAGACTCGCAAGCAAGATCATACAGGGTAATAAAATGCTGCATTTCGCATAGTTTACTTGTATTTTTATTTTGATACCCTTAACAAATTAAAAAGTTACATTTGTCATTATTACTTGTTAAATGGCTTGGATGGAAGAAGAACGAGACCGAATTGTGGAAAGCCGAACGGGATGTCAATACTGGTGCCGAATTTCGACAAAGTTGATGTCTTACCTTGTCGATGGTTAAACAGCTTGGATCTACTTGAAACCCAATTAAAACTAGTTTAAAATGTGCTTGGTACAGTTATGTTTGAGCTGAATTGCATATTTGGAAGGATTTCAACGAGAACTGCGAAAAACAGCGGAGTAAAGTGGAGAATTTGCGCCAAATACGTCCATTTGCAGGAGGTAGGTAAATTTCAAATTATTATTTCGGTCGCAAAATATTACCCATTTTTCACCAGAACAGTAATAATATAATTAAATAAGTACCAATTATATGTTTCTATCAAAAAGATTTAGGAAAAAAGGTAATGTAGATCCACTGGTGTTTATCTGAAGTTGTAAGCCACAAATTGACATTTGACTATTAGTATTGCATGGTAATTTTCTTGTAAATTAAAATATCAGTGCTAGGAATTTCATACTTACAAATGACCACCCCTAAAAGCACCATCTCTGAACCATATAAGCACCTCAAAATAGAGAAAACTTGTAGTGTTTGGTAGATAACACTATGGCGAAAACGTCGTTTTTGGGTGTGGTCGGTTTCCGACGTTTTGTCCCAGATTGGGGCTTGGGCAGCGTTACCATGTTGACCGTCATTGTCAACTTACCCGAAAACAGTTGAGATTATCTGTCCTAAATAAAATGCATTCAAGCTCATATACAGGTTCTTGAATATTATAGGCAGTACTGTAGGTACGTTTAATTTTTATCGACAAATACACACTAATATTTTGCATGCGATGCCTTTATTTGATGTATCTATGTAACTACAACTGTAGAATGCCATTCAAATGTCTTCTAATACTACAAAATGCGAACAAATACTTCGTTCAAATGTCTAGTACTACGAGATAAGTTTGAATCATTATTGTTCCAAATAATCTTGTTACTTGTGCCTTATCGTGAATTTACCCAGAAAATTTGCCGATCTTTAATATACATTATAAATCTGTCATAATATTTCTGACTTTCTTCTGGTCGTTGATTTTGTCTTGGTCCATCTTGGATAGTATGAAGGTAAAACTCTGTCCCGCGGCAATAATGTCTGAGTTTATATCTTTCCTTGCCAATCATGTCAAGGCAACGTCGAGGGCTAGTTTCCTTGTTACGCATGCACGGCAGTAAATTGGAATGAAAAATTACGTACTTTGGACACTCTTTGCGCTTCGTTATGCTCTTCGTATATTCCACCATACTTTTCAGTCCATTGTTGGTTAATAGTCTATGCTCGGTGTGCTCTCTTGGAATATCGGGACCGGGCCGACGTGCACGAAAATTCATTCTGAAATTGGTGTTGTCGCCTCGACGTGGCCGAGGTGGATAAAGTTGACCATTTGCTAAATCCTGCCTAGAATTCCGACGACCTTTTAGTGTCCCTTCAACTTCTGGTGTTAGGTAACTTCTACTGGTATCCGCGCGTTGTATATAAATAAACCCAAGTTGGCCATCTGAAAAAAGTGAATTGCATTATGAAAATCTTGAGATTCACGATTTATTATGTGGGCTGGACAGTAAACCTTGTAATAGCGTATCACTAAACTCATTCAAAGTTGAATGTATTTCGGTTTTGTCGACCATGAAAGAGTTTTAAAAAGTCTTCTCTGTTATGGGTATAGGAAGCGTAGTTGCGTGCAGGTGGATAAGTAACACACTCTGGACTGGTAACAACATGCACTCCACCTTTCCGGACAATTATAATTGAATACGACATTAGCATTAGTTGTTCTTTAATAGATAATTACTGAGGCCAACGGCATTATTCGATATATTGCAGCCAGCTGAGGCCGAAGGCAGAAGCTGGCTGCAATATATCGAATAATGCCGTTTGGCCGAAGTAATTATCTATTAATGTGTATTAAATCTATTAAAGTAATTATCTATTTGGCCAAACCCGAATCAAAAGTAATTATTTTCGGCTGAAAGACTACGCTGCTGCTTGTTGGGACCGTATGACAATGAATATATCCAACGTTATACTAGACATTTGTGAGGACATGCACGTAATGCATCGTGATAGAACAAATTTCAGTTTAATTAATCGCCCTAAATTAAAATCTTCACAAGCGGAGGTCAATTATAGTGTTCTAGTTTACATATTATCATTAATGATAAGGTTAATTCAAAGAGCGTATTAAACTGGATAAACACGGGAATAGAACTTATGATGTGTTCTGCACATGCGTATATTTAGGATAAAATCCCACAAGCGCAAACGAAATTATTTTTCTATAAAGTTGAGCTGAAAGGACTCACAGGGACCGTCTTGGCAGTGCTTCAGCCGCCCGATGATATTGTATGAGGGGCCTTTAGCACTGTCAACTTCTCATCTTGAGATGTTCACGTTATCGCGTGTACTTGTCAGGATGACGAAGGATTGCGAATAATGTCTGTGTGCACTGATACACGCTGCATTATTTTTAATAATGCTGTGGGCACGCTGCATTATTTTTAATAACGCCGTGTGCACGCGGCATTACTCTCAATAACGCTATGTGCACGCTGGATTATTTTTAATAAAACATTTTAATAAAACATTAACCCCTAGGAATTTCCCTACAATCAAAAAAGACCGCTCCCGTTTTTCAGAAGAACGCTAGAACTTCTCGACATTCGCTGATATAATGCAGAGTAAAAACAATATGTTATTATGACCGTCAGTAATTATTAATAAAAACACTCTAGACATGTAATAAAGTATAATGCAGAATAAATATCCACTGATTTGAAAACATCCGTTATGCATAAATGATTAAGTCATTAGCTGCTATTGACCACCGTGTACTGATCTGCTAAGGTACATTGAGTATTTACGGTTGGTTATTAATCACACCCAATTCACAACCTTATAGGTAACTCCATGTAATTGAATAAAACTGGAAAGCTACTTTCAAATAAACAGAATATGTTTTTCGTGAGCACAAATTTGACCTCCAGACATATACGCGTGTCTGGAGGTCAAGACACGTTTCTTTACGTCACGATTGACAGATTAAGCGTCCTTGGCATGTGTGAAAAGATTGGGACTGGCCTTCAAGTTCGGCTTCAAGTTTCCGGGAAGATGTAACGTTCCAGTTACATTCATTTCAAAGCATAACTCACATGTCTACTATAGTTGCTATTGTTCTATCGATCAGTTTTTATTTACAGAACAATAGAATAGAACAATAGAATAGAACAAAGGTAACTAACTTGTATGTAGAAAATTCCACCGTAGATAAGACAATGACTCCTATACATATAATACTCGAGCTTAGATAACAGTTTGTTCCATTCTATGATTCTGTAAACTAGAACAATAGTATAAGTAGGCATGTGAATTGTCTATTAGTGCATTGAAAAAAAAAAAAAATGTTGTCTATATCACTTATCTGTTTGCGAGGAGTGTCATGACGGATGGGTGCCATGAGTACGGTGTCCCACAAGTGCAATGCACAAATCAAAATCCCCCTATACAAAACAAATTCCCACTTCACAAAATAAAATTCAACTACACAAAACTCAATTCACAATACAAAAAACTCAATTCACAATACACAAAACCCAATTCACAATATTCAATTCCAGTACACAAAACTCAATTCCACTACGTACACAAAACTCAGTTCACGATACACAAGTCAGGACTTTCGCCAGAAAACGCGGGAAAATGGAATGACCGCTACTGATAATTTTTTACTCCACCTTACCGTCATCACAACCTTACGCAAAGAAAGGAAGCAGTGGAAAGTCAAGTTAACGAATAATAATGTAAAAAAGCTTTCAATTAACGTCAATTACAAATACTGAACTTCAAGTGTTTTCGACTTTGCACGCATTAGTTTTTATGCGTTTTAAGTACTGTAAAATGATAGAGTAAAAAACATCAGTGGCGGTTATGTCACTTTCCCGCGAAAGTTGTGGATTATCGTGAATTGAGATTTGTATAGTGGAATTGGGTTTTGTGCAGTGGAATTGAGTTTTATGCAGTGGAATTGAGTTTTGTGTAGTAAAGTTAAGTTTTGTGTAGTGAAATTGAGTTTTGTGTAGTGGTATTGAGTTTTTTGTAGTGGAATTGAGTTTCGCATTGTGGAAATGAGTTTTGTGTACTGGACTGATGGAGTTTTGTATTCTTGGATTTTGTTTTGTGCATTGCACTTGTGGGCCACTGTGCATGTTACACGTTACCAAACGTGTCAGAAAACGTTTCACAAGCGCAAGGTACATGAGTTGCTGTACATAGGAATTGACATTTGCTTTATGGTGAAACTGATTTACATGCCCAATCGATTTGTTTTTATAAGATATTCAGGCCGTTTTCAGTCCACTTTAACCTCTGAGTCATCGTACCGTAACACAATAACACAAGTTATGCCTTTACTTATTTAAAAATATCTCCTCGTTGAATTCGAAAGGATGTTTTATCCAGTCCTATAGTTTTTGATCGGTATAAATTTCCCTTATACTTACTGTCACCAGTAATATAGCGAGCCCGGTCTATCAAATCTCGTGCAGTATCTCGCACGACCGTTTCATAACGACCCTTTGGCAGTTTTGGTGCTCTCTTTTCCAAATTGAAATGGTTTTCCAGTCGTTGATTTTCGCCAAAGATTGTTGCGAATAGAAGCAACACAACACACAGTGCTTTTGTGAATACCATTTTCTCGCTTTTGATGTTTTCAAATTGTTTTGAACGCCATAGAAGGAAATCTAAAGTTGTCTTTCAGCGTAGAAGAAACAGTATCGAATGATTTCTCCTTGATGATTTAACGTCTCTATGTATAAAATTATTTGATATGTTGCTGGTTCAGGCAGGTTGACTATTATTTCCACCAGTGCTTCTTTGTGACAGCAATAATCGCCGTGTTCGCCGAAATGGGTTTATTTTGACAATATAGGTACAAAAATTGCCATAATATCTCGCTGGTTGGGGTAAACACTATCCGAGCTTTGTTGAAGGGGCTTGACTATCTGAAAAAAATACTTCGACCTTTCGAAGGCAAACCTTTCGTAGCTGAAACTATATATTAAAAATTGTTTGTCATTTAGCTGGTCCAAGCAGGTTGAACATTATTAGAAACAGTATTAGTTTGTTACAGCCTTAAAGACACCGCAAAATTCAAAATTCTTAGCAAGAAAAAAATTCTTCTTTCAAACAATAAATTGCTTGAAAGAAGATATGCAACTTTTTTTACCAAAAAGATTTTCTTAGAACAGGTACATATATTGCCAAGAAGAGACCTAGTAATTTTTACTTGCCAAAAATAATAATTTACTTGAAAACAAGCATGAATTCACTAACCAATTTAGGAACAACTTGGAATTTGAAATGAAAGTCAAGTAATTTTGTATTTATGAAGAATAATCATTTACTTAAAACAAGCATAAATTCACTTGGGAAGAAGACATTGGCACTTGAAATGAAAAAACAAGTAAATTTCTACTTGCCAGATATAACCGTTTATACTTATAAAATAAGATTAAATTTACTCACCAAGAAAACCTCATCGTTACTTATTAAAGAGCCTATATCGCTTGTGGATGGGATCATTACCGATTTGCAAAGAGCAGAAAAAGTTAGTTAATAAGTTCCAGAACCTTTTTTCTTTAGTTGAATTGTTTCTTAGTTATAGACCTTCAAACATTAGGCCGCTTGCTGTGACGTCGAAAAGTGCCTAGAAAACGATTTTCATTTCCCATGTCTTATTTTGGAACTAAAATATATTTAACGGGAACTAATACTTTCGAAAGCGTTCCAGCTCCTTAGACCTGCAGGTTGCAAACAAACTGAAATTTATCTTCACTAATTTAACGACAAAATGTTTTCGTTGTTCAACGACATGGATCGATGACGACAAAACGATTATGTAACTCAAAAGGACCAATTTCTTTTAACTTGTCTTCTTATGGGGAAGACCGTTTTGCTCGAATCATTTTGAGTTATATAATAATTGATCAGCTCTATTTCTGTAGTCTCCCTTAGCCCCTCCTTGGCGCCACCACTGATTGCGTTCAAGAAATTGGCGGGAGACGTCGGATAACTCAAGCTCGAAGATGTCGTTAAATCTTTGCGTTATGTCTTGGCTGAGAAATAATTCCTTACATGCAATCAAAATGTTTTATTCCACGATGTAAAACTGTGATGTTGTGTAATTGGTCAGTACTTAAATTTCCAACACAGTTTTTGAGATGTAATTGAAGAGGAAACTTGTCATTGCATTTTAACTATTGTATTACTTGGTATTATTCTGTGCAATTAGGGAATACTATTGGAAAGAGGGCTTCCATATACGTTAAGCTATCGAGTCAACGGGGATTGGTGGCGAGTATTATCCAATTTAAGTGCGCGAAATATTTTTGTGACGACTTAACGCTTGTCTTAGAGGACAAGCTACGTCTCTAAAGCCGGTTTTCCACTAGGCGGAATTTTGCGCCCGCAGCGGAATGTTTCTTTGTCTTGTGATTTCAAAGAAAGATTCCGCTCCGCACGTAAAATTCCGCCTAGTGGAAAACCGGCTTAAGACAAGCGTTAAATCTTCACGAAAATATTTCGTGCACTTAAATTGGATAAGAGTCACTTCGAATCCCCGTTGAATCGATAGCTCAATGGGTTGAACGGAGGTCCAGATACGTCAAAATGCGAGTTCAAATCCTGCTCGAGCCAACGAATTTTTCGTTCGTAGATTGCAGTGTCAAAGTTCGTATCTTCGAGATGGTTCTGAAATGTACGTTGAAATCACCGAATAAGCAGCTCATGCACACATTTCTATACTTTGTGGTAAGTTTAAACAGCAGATTTTATACTTTGGCACCGTTCTTTGTCTTTGATTTGAACATTTATTCTTCTAGTTTAAGCCGGTTATTTAAGATTGATCCTGTCGTAACTCTTGTACCAGCAACTCATAGAAAATATTTCATTTTAGCGTTGTCTTTGCCGTTCCGTTGGCTTCACGTTACTTTTGTTTCAAAGTTTTTAAATACCTTGATCGTGTGTTAAAAGAGTTATTTTCAGGCCAGTGACATAGCAAAAGACATAGCATAACGATTTTATAGAGATAACTCTATAACTAAGGATTTTAGAAAACGTTATATGTGCCTTCTCAAAGTTGTAGGCAAGGTATGATGTTGTTTACGTCTAACATGCATAATCCCCGAGCCGACGGCGCGAAGCGCCGTGTGAGGGTACTACTTCCCCCCGGCTATTTACACCCGGGGAAACGAAAACAGTAGCGACGTCTAAAGTCCATCAATTATCGTGGGCGCTCACCGACGGTGTTGAGCGGGTGGTCATGACTGATCTCAGAATATGGCTGTTTGCCAGGAGTGAAGAAGACAAAAAATATAAAAAAATAGATGTAAGAAAGCTTGGACAATCGTTTCACATAACAAAATTGTACAACTCTTTTGCAATTTTTAAACGTAAACATTGATAAGAGTTGTTATTATATACACAAGGTCTGGATATGAGGTATTCTGCAATCTGATTGGTTCTCTACTAGCAGGATATTAGCTCATATCCTGCTAGTAGAGAAAAAAAAATGGCGGCTAAACTGAATTGACGATGTTTTGCAAACGAGAAAACGGCAAGTTGTCGCTTTTTATAGCCTTCACAGGATTAAAAACACAATGAAAAAACTCCCACAAATTGTTTTCAGGTTAGCAAATAAATTTTTAAAATTTAAAGTGGTTAAAAATATATATTTTTGAAAAAATAATAGGGCGAAAGAGCGAAGATAAAAACATAAACAAAATAGAAAAATATTGAAAATATCCGAATAGCAAAGTCTGTGAATTCAGACCTTGTGTATATAATAAAACAGTTATTCCACTCACTCTCGTCGAATATCAGGTCATATTCGACTCGAGTTCGTAGAATAACTGTTAAATATTGTATGATAAATCCTAAAGTATAAGGCAAGTTTGTTTCAATTGTTTATGTATGACTTTGTATTTAATAATATAGACTTTGTTCTTGATGTTCAAGTCTTCCCTATGCATTGTTTGCGAAAGTTCTTTAGTTAAAATTAACTTTTGTAGAAGTGCATGATAAAAAGGAAAGCAAATTATTTTCATTACAGTCCTGTGAGAATTAGATTTGTTTCATTTCAGAGTGCGAGTAATAAGTTGAAGCTCGAGTTGAGAAGTTTTATATAAATATCATAGTTGCCAGCATTTTTAAATTAAAATGCGGGAGTTTATAACGCAGTAAATATTTTTTCCGGAAAAATTGTTTTTGGCGACCTACCCCTCCCGTCACCAAAAAAATTTCGGTCAGTGTACCATTTTAAGGGTAAAAAGTTTTTCCGGACTGACCAAAATTTTTCGGCATATAAACAAATTTTTCCCTTCATCTCAAATTTTCCAAAATTTTCTGAAATTTTTGTAAATTAATTTTCCCTTGTCGTAGGAATACATGATTTTGTGTCACTTTACCTGAATTTCTTCTGCAAATCTACCTGAAATTACCTGAAATTGCTCATGTGAGCACTTATTAGTAGGTAACCCCCCCCCCCCCTCCAGCGTCCAAAGGGATGCCGCCAATGACGTCATATCAATGACATCACCGGAAATACCCGCATAAATTATGAAGTATGAACGTTCAGCTATTTTCGCATAAATTAAGAAGTATGAACGTTCAGCTATTCCCGCATAAATTATGAAGTATGAACGTTCAATTGTATGTATCCGGTTTGTGAGCATTACGTAATTGTATTGCACATGTCTATAAAAGAGACTGCGCGTTTATTCACTGATATCATTGCATACTAAGCCTTTGATAATGAATTTTTCAAAAATTTTGAGCAATCGAATTGGGCCAACAGTGTTCATGCAGACGAAGTTTCGTCCTCTGATTTTAAAAGGCTTTTCAGTTTGTTAGAAGCTATATATGCAGAGGCTGTTGCTTGCGAAGTTGGTAAACTTGCTAAAGAGAGATGCTGTGGTTGTGAGTACGACCATCCGAGTCAACGCCAGCATGACTGTCTCATGTTATCAGAACAAGAGAGATGTCAATCGTATGGTTTGGAAGCCATAGAGCGAGTGATTGTTAAACGTATGGTTTGGAGGGAGTTTGTTGAGGCTATTAGAGTGATGAAGTTACAGTATCATAAAGATGTTCGAGATCACTTTGACAATTTAGAGAAAAGTCCTGATTCAACGTTTGTTTACTCGCTGATGGATCTTCGTGAAAGCATCAAGGATAGTAAATTTGAGTCAATTTTGAATTATCTTTCATACTGGAGAGAGGACAAATTCTGAGGACATGCGTGAACAAGTTTGGGCAAGATCATTACGTCACCGGAAGCGGTCGTACTTTAACGATATATAAGGATGGGATCGTGCGCCAGTTTTCATTACTTGCCAACAGAACTGTACGATGGAGTGCTTACATGGAAAACCTGCTGCTAATTCCACAACAAGCAATGGATCATTTTGGTTTTGCGGTCAAAATCCCAGTTGCAATTTCTTTTGTACAGAAGACGAAGGCTACATGTATGAAAAAGCCATAACGGCTTGGAGATGTACGGAGCAGCCTCATCCTCGGTGCGATGGACATCATAAACTTGCGAAAATGTGTGTGGTGAAAAATTTGATGAATGTGAATTATGGAAGACCATTCTTCGTGTGTGGAGAAAAGGCGAAGCCGTGTTCCTTTTGGAT